TCACATTCGTACCCGTAGGTACAAATATCACCCCTGCGAACAATGTTCAGCGAGTAAATGGAGCTTCCTATGCTGCTATTGCTGCAGGTGGAAATCGAAACCAACGTAATTCTAACCGAAATTTTGAAAATTTTGTCTTACAAAACATTACTGCTCCTAGAATGTAATTTTTACAGAAATCATTAATTGACATGGTTACTGATATGCTTAAATCTAACTCCATGACTGATGCTATTCAAACTAGAGTAAAATTTACGAACAATATTGTCATGACTTTGAAATCCAGTAATGGATTTTAAATCATTAAATATTTTAAATTGGAATGCTCGATCTCTTAAAGATAATGAAGACGAGCTACTTAACTTTTTGAGATTTCATAACGTGCATATTGCCGTTATAACTGAAACGTTCCTTAAACCTGACCATACGGTTAAGAGGGACGCAAATTATTTCATTTATAGAAATGATCGTCTTGATGGAGCCTGTGGTGGCGTTGCCTTAATTGTTCATAGACGAATCAATCATAAAATTCTTTTTTCATTTGAAACCAAAGTTTTTGAAACTTTGGGAGTTTCTGTTGTAACAAAATTTGGACAACTTACGTTTATAGCTGCCTATTTGCCATTCCAATGCGTAGGCCAGCAAAAGATTTTTTTCAATGGTGACCTACAGAAACTCACCCATCATAGGTCTCAATTCTTCATTATTGGTGATTTTAATGTAAAACACCGCTCATGGAATAATGTTAAAAACAATTCCAAATGGTAATATTCTGTTTGATGATTGTTCTCCAGGTTATTACACTATTGAATATTTAAACAGCCCAACATGCTTTTCTTCAGCAAGAAATCCCTCCACTATTGATTTGGTCTGAACTGATCCATGTCAACTTTGTAGCCAATTGGTTAATCACCCCCCACCCTCTCCCCCATCGGTTCTCATCACCTTTTAGTAACTTTTGAAGTATCCCAAGAAATAATTTATAATCCCAACAGCTCTACTTTCAATTACCATAGAGCTGATTGGAAGCAATATCGATCATTTATGGAATATAGCTTTGATTCAAACATTCCGCGACATATTGCGGTGGTCAATGGCTAAGTAATAGTTGCTTGTACGAGCCGATTATGAATGAGAAATAGGGGCATGTGTGTGTTGGTATTCACAATTCGTATGAGCTGGTAATGACTGTATAGACGAGGCAACTGGTGAGTTCCAAATTCATCGTAGGTTTTGGCGTGATCTCCGTGTTAGCCGCCGTAGGCGGTACCATTCATGTCTTTGAAATTGACCATCATCCGCTGAAGCTGTATGAGTTGTCGCGTGTCTCTGTTGTTCAGTGCATGGCAAGTGAAAGTTGGATCGTGTTTTGTCGTGAAGTGTTGTGGTTTTTAGATGCGCGATTATCCCCTACCCCATTAGAGCGCGACATAATAAATCATCGCCCCATATGGAACAGCGTAGCAACTAATACTTCCCCAACATCAAGGTTAATTTAAACATTTTTGTATGTATATTGTTTGCATTTCATAGATTTTACATATGTTTCACTTCACTATCTTCTACAGTACATTTCATATTATTTGATATTATATAATATATTAGTTTGTTTGTGTTATATTATTTTGCATTATTTCAAATATTTCATTCCTTAATTTTCAACTTTATATAAAATATTGCAAGTTTATTATTTCATAAATAGTACATAAAAAGTTTTTTTATATTTTGTATTTCACTATATATTTTAAACACATTATTTATTGCATGATCATAACACTTTTAGATTAATATTATAATTATTCTCTTTTCTTTTCACCTCATTAATGATTTATATTGTACTGATTCAATCTTTTCAGGTTTCGTCCTGGTTGAATCTATTGATTTGATATGTTCAAATTAGTTTTAAGCTCTTTGATGATATCCAACATCCTAGTGGTTTCGCGTGGAAGAGTGGAGGATTTCTCGGCTTCATACAACACGAGTTTTCACGTCAACATATTTCTACCCATTCCTTAGTTACCTGCATTCCGACGCCGGCCGGCGCTGGTATTGCCTTTTAAAAGTATGAGATCACCAGTTTTTACACATTGAGGATTAATGCTAGTCCCAAGCATCGTCTATTGGTTCTCTGTGTAATTACAGCTGATCTGGCAATAACAGAGTAGTAACCGAGGGCGGTCAATCATGATCATGCTCATGTTCATGCTATAGCTTTGCTCTAAACATACCTTTGCAAACCAAAGATGAAATTAATTATGCTCTTGAATCTCTGACTACTTCTATAGTTGCAGTAAGAGCTGCCTCAGTACCAAAATGCGAGGTTAAATTCGATTCAATTATAATAGACGATGATCTTCAGCTCTTGATCCGTCTTAAAAATGTCCGTAGGAGACAATATCAAAGAACACGCGATCCTGCCATGAAAGTTATCTGGCGGGATTTGCAAAAACAAATTAAAAAGCGATTCTCTGGTCTGAGGAACACACTTTTGAAAATGATGTTTCTAAATTAGACTCGAGTTCCAAAACCGTTTTGGAAAATCATAAAAATTTTGAAAAAACTTCAAAAGCCTATTCCATCGATTAAAGAAGGTGGTAAAATTTTGATCACAAATTCAAAACAAGCTCAGAAACTTGCTAAGCAATTCGAGAGTTCCCATAATTTCAGTTCGGGTCTTACTAGTCCTATTGAGAATCAGTTTGCTCGAGATTATCTGAACATTTTCTCTCGAGAAAGTATTTTTGATAATTCTTGGGGGACTGATTTGGATGAAGTAAGATCTATAACTAAAAAGTTTCATAATGTGAAAGCTCCTGGTGATGATGGAATTTTCTATGTCCTCATCAAAAAACTCCCAGAAAGTACCTTGTCTTTCTTGGTAAAATTACAAATGTAAACAGATGTTTCTATTTGGCATACTTTCCTGATAAATGGAAAAATACAAAAGTTGTTCCAATTTTGAACCCGGATAAAAATCCAACTGAAGCTTCTAGCTACCGCCCAATAAGTTTACTTTCTTCAATAAGTAAACTTTTTGAAAAGATAATTTTGAATAGAATGATGCTTCACATCAATACGAACTCAATTTTTGCAGATGAGCAGTTTGGATTTCGCCATGGGCATTCAACTACTCATCAACTCTTAAGAGTTACCAATTTAATTCATTCAAACAAATCTGAAGGTCACTCAACTGGAGTTGCTCTTCTAGACATAGAAAAAGCATTCGACAGTGTTTGGCATGAAGGCATGATTGCTAAATTGAAAAAGTTTAATTTTCCACTTTATATTATGAAATTAGTTCAAAATTACTCTGCAGGTAAATTATCAAAACTCCAAATGTAATCGACTACCTGTTAGAGCAGGAGTTCCTCAGGGGTGCATTCTTCGGCCTATATTGTGTAACATTTTCACTTCGGACCTCCCTGATTTACCTCAGGGTTGCCACAAATCTTTGTTCGCTGATGACACAGGCATTTCCGCTAAAGGAAGAAGTCTTCGTGTTTTTTGCAGCAGACTGCAGAAAAGTTTAGATAGTTTCTCTTCTTATATATTATATATTATCCAAAGGGGGAGTTTGGTAAAGAGAGATGATAAAACCGATTTGTACCTTCCTAAAAGTTGTCTAGCCCTCTGTCTACTCTCTATATGCAATTTTCACACTGCCGCACTCTAAACGGAACTATCAATGCTATACTTTCATCTCCTCCTCATTTATCGTATAAAAATTACCAGTTTATTCTGTTATTTGAAATTAGCATCTTCAACTATGTTAATCGTTGAATTCACGCAGAAGTAATACTAAAATAGTCAAAAAAATAAAATCATCGCCAAAAAAAAAGTTGCACATCTTCAAATCCCAATGTAGACAAGCTCACTCATAACATAACCTTACTCCGCACAGCAACTCTCTCCCTTCCCCACATTGCCTATAAACGTTGAACTAAATATAGCAGCCAGGGCCAACAAAAACTAAGGTTAACGAGATTGGAAAAAGAAATATCAGAAAAGATATTATTTTCAATAGGTGGATTAGTGGTGGCATGACCGGCTGAATCAATCCTGTCATAACATTTGTCAGAACAACCCAATTTTCGTTTCACAATCAATTAGCGTCCTTCTCCAGTATCATGGTGCCGCTTTTATTGGGTACCAAATTTGCCATTTCGACCAGGCCCTAATAAACTGCGGGGTGCAACGGGTGAAGGTAGGTTCGTACGGGTTGGACTCGATGATGGAACATTTATCGCTATGGGTTCGCGAAAAGGAAGTAAAATTGTTTTTAACAGTTTTCTTAACCTCTCCTCACCGCAGTGACAGAAGGGTTGGTATCGTTTAGGTAGCACTTTATTTTGAACTTTTTTTTTATGTTCTACAGTTTGTATCATGCTCACACTTCTTTTAGGAGTGTCTGAGTAGTGGCACAAATATAAACAATGCTCGCCAGTTCAGATGTTTTAGGTTAATTTGTGAAAGTTGGCTTTTGAAACATAATATTGTGCACAATCGATGTTTATTTTTATTTTTAGCATATTGAAAATGAGGAGAAAAGATGAAAACGATCCACTTATTTATTTTAAACGTTTGAAAGATTCAAGTCACATAAAGATAAACTACAAATATCCAGATAAGTATTTCATTCATGCTTTCCACATGACTACCTCAACAATCTTCATGAACCTGTAAACAGCACACCTCGTCACTTATAGCAGCGTGGATCTCCCACCACGGCGCACCCGCAAGTTCGAATTTACGACAAGTTGTAACAGCGGTGGAAGGATACATATTTTTCCTTTCGGCTTTAATTGAAACACATAATCACGTGCTAGTAAAAATTCACTTTTATTTCCTTCGACATTATTGATTTCTTTCCAGCGCGAGCAAACGAGGGTGGTAACTCGTACCCAAGAACGATAACCTTCCCCTCCATGCACTTCCGTTCATATGTTCAAGCTGATCGTAACTTGACGTCTTTCTCCTTCTTTCTCTCCTTCTCATTACAGGCTGTGCGTTTTTGACGTATTTCGGTCCGGAAAACGCTATTAACGCCCAAGGCGCGTTACATGAAAAGCAGACTTCACCTGGGGTGAGTTATTCGAATTTTCTTCGTTTCTTGTGCGTGTAGTCGTTCTTATATTTATTGGCGAGAAGGGGATACCTCTGCCAACCAGCCGAGTTTATGGTTTTGCACTTATTGCGCGCTTAACCCTCGCGCCCATCGGGAACGTTCTCGCCTTCGCTCGTATTATTTTGTTGGATTTTATTGCTGTTGCCTACCCTTTCCGCTCTCTCACTACTCCCCCGTCCTCCTGCCGAGGACCGTGTAGATATGTATACAAATTTAGCTATTTGTCGCTTTTGTGTCTCTAATCTTTACGCGCCTTTAATGTCTTTGTTTCGTGCAACTGTTTGCTGCTTTTATGGGATGCACGGGGCTTTCAAGGATCGGAACCGCTGCTGGTCGCTCTGCTAATTGGGGTAATCTTTAATGGGGGCTTTTGCATAATTTTGTGTTTTCAACTTTTATTCCTTTGCAAATGGATGCTGTAAAGCGGTGCAATTATTTTTCAGAAATAAACCAATACGATGATGATGTCACACTGAGGAAGGAAGTCAATAGGGTTTTAAGATTTAGTTGATTATTAATTATACAATAAGCTTAGCTTAGCATCGACTGACTATACATATCAAGGGTTGCTGTTCCGTGATTTATCAGAATAAGTGATATTGCACAATGAATAACTGAATGGGCCGGCAGTGACACCAAATCTAAAAAAAAATACCGGTGCCGGCCACGTCCTTGCAATCAGGTGGGAGTAGGGTAGGACTATTAGAGTACACAGCAAAAAATAAATTTTAACATTACATCCATGAGAATGCACTTCAGTCATGTCGAAAATCTCATATAATTTTTATGGCAACAAAAATAAACAAATGCAGTAAAAGCAGCGTAATGTCAGTTCATGCACTCTATTAATGATAACTTTGTCCTTCTTGGCAAATAATATTACACTATATTTTCGACACGACTGAAGTGCATCCACTTTGATGTGATATCAAAATTATTTTTTTTGCTGTGTAACCTTTTTTTGTATTAGAGACCGAGGTCACCTTGATATGTTATGCGGTCATAGTTTTAATATAAGGTAATGCTTTCCGAAATTGAAGCATTTTTTGTTTGTTCTTATGAGTTATAATTCGGTATGAAGTTTATGCCAAGACTCTGTAAAGTCAATGGTTTCACAATATTCGTTACAAGAGGCCATCATGCGATTTAATGGCCAATATTTTGCATGATTTTTGCGATGCTGGTTTATGGAAAATAAATTTCGATTTCGGAGTTGTCGAGTAGGTGCATAAAAATTTAATTTTGATAAAAGTTCTGTTGAGTCAATGCGATATCGTTTACAAATGAAACCATTGCATATTCACGACGGTCTTTTAATGTTTATATGAAATGATGTTCAACCTAATTTACGAAGGGCGTATAATAAAACTGTACTGAAAAAAGAGATACACAAAAATGGTCGCCAAAAATTAATTTTAAGTCGGATTGTCTTCAAATTTTCAGGGAATAAACGACAACTACCTACTTCATTGTTTTATTGGATCTTCCAACTAACAATTTTCTCAATGTAAACGCTTTACTCATTTAATTTATGCAACCTTAAGTTGTATTCAAACGTTATACGATATGAAGCATCATTTAAAGGGTGTCCACGATGAAATTGCCACAGTATGAAATTGTTCTAACTTTTTAACCGTTGGGTAGAATTTAATGAAAATTTGGGTGGATTTAGTTCATAGTGCATTATTTACATCCTGCAAGTTTTAAAGTCCTGTGATCAAAACTCGCGGAAATGGAGTCGAAAGAACAGCTCGTGCGTGATAAAATCTTGCGCATTCATCACGAGAACAAGGATCTCTCGCATCGTTCCATCGCTAAAACGTTGGGAATCGCGAATTCCACGGTGTTGCGAGTGATTAAGCGGTTCGAGGAACGGTTGACCACCGATCGGAAGCCCAGAAGTGAAGGAAAAAGTATTCCGTACAACACCAAAAATCACAATCGCCTTCAACCGAAATCCGAACGCCTCCGTTAGGGATGTGGCTAAGAAGCTGCACCTAAGCCGAAGTTTTGTCCAGAAGGCCAAAACTAAGACTGGGCTTCGAACGTTCAAGGTACAAAAGGCCCCTAATCGCGACGAGAAGCAGAACAAGTCCGCCAAAACCCGTGCCAGGAAGTTGTACCTCAACATGCTGACGAAAGTTGAATGCTGCATCATGGACGAAGGAACATATCTTTATAACAGATCCCCGGCAATCTGTTTTTCACGGCCAAGGATAAGTTCAGCGTTCCAGAGCATGTCCGCACTCAGAAGATGTCCAAATTTGCGAAGAAATTCCTGGTTTGGCAAGCCATCTGCACGTGCGGGAAGCGGAGTGCACCTTTCGTGACCCAGGACACGATGAACGGACAGGTGTACATAAAAGAGTGCCTCCAGAAGCGGCTGCTTCCTCTCCTGAAGGCCCACAACGTCCCAACAATCTTCTGGCCGGATTTGGCCTCATGCCACTACTCCAAGGACGTGCTGTAGTGGTATGCGGACAATGAGGTCAATTTCGTGCCGAAAATGTTCAACCCTCCCAACACTCCGGAGCTCCGCCCCATCGAGAAGTACTGGGCGATTATGAAGCAGCACCTTCTTAAACGACCTAAGGTAGTGAAGACAGTCGAGGAACTGAAGAAAGTATGGGTTTACATGCAAAAAACGGTTGATTCACAGGTTGTGCAGAATCTTATGGCCGGGGTTAAGGCCAAGGTGCGGGCATTTGCGTATGGACTGTAAATAAAATACGAGTACAATGGTAAAATGAAGTTTAATAGTTATTTCTCAATCCCTGAAAATTTGATGGCAATCGGATGAAAACTCGAATTTTGCGAATCAATTTTGTGTGTGGCAATTTCATCGTGGACACCCTTTACTCAACCTCTATACATGCAAATCTTACGAGCTTTGTCCGCTACTTATGACTGTTGTTGAGACGGTTGGGACAAACTTTTATTGCATATCCATTTACGCTTCTATATAGCTGTTATCCTCCTGTTTAGAAGTGTGTGAACTTGAATGGCGCTTATTCAACGTTTTCCCGGTTACCATAATCACTACACAGTAAAATATCCATATCAACACTTCATTATGTTTGGAGTTCTTTCCTTTCTTGTTTCTTCACGACAACATTATTAAACTCCTATTTTGAAAGTTTATATTAACACATTATTTCTTATTAACACCACTTTACGACGCGTACTTCAGTAAGTTCACTTAACTCACTAATTATGAACTTTTCTTTAGCTAAAATGAACTTAACTATTTATATTCTTAAACTCTACACATAATTATTAACTCTACAAGATATCTAGATCAGTTTGGTATATAAGGTCAACCAATCAGTGCGAAGCACATAGGTTGAGCCATCTGCTAAATCTGCATAATATCTAGGACAAAGTCCCATCATAACAAGATCAGTGGAAAGGGAAAATAATTGCTGTGTGGGTATGTCCCACTCATAGTTTAATGTTCTGTGAAAAGAGTTGGGTCAAGCAGTAGCGAAGTGACATTGCGTAATGCTTGTAAATAGTCTGATATCTGTGTTTTGAAGATGTTGCGTTAAGTTCCTGGTTAAAAGTGTCGAATTGCAATGCTGCGCCACTTGAAGAGTGCAACGCACTTGAAGTGTAAACAATTATCGGTGGTTGAACAACCTCTTCTGATAATTTTTAATTCCTCTTACAACAGCTTTCTCTTGAAACCAGGTTAAATATTGTTTATGCTTTTTGGCGTAGGATTACGTCTTTCGGCAGCATATTGGGGGTGCAATTTAAAAAACAAACAAAATCGGCCGCGTTACGATAAGTGGTCAGGATTTGGCCACTTATAACTCTGTCAATAGCAGATGGCTATTAATTCTAAACAATCCAATCGATTGGAATGTCATCTATGAATTTGCCAAAATTCACTAACAATTTTCGAAAGGTCACTATTGAAAATTGCACGACTGTGCAACTGTTGCTATAATATTGAAAGTTATCACCGATTGACTGAGAAAAGCGCTTTCTCTAACACAGATTTAAAAATCGAATTCACTCCGGTCTCACCGAATGGTGTTTATTGTGGTGAGTGGCGGTGTCCAATGGTCATCATCAGCAGCAGCTGCAGTGATTTCGGCACGTGGCGTTGTAGATTGTTCAACAGTACACGAAGAAAGGCTGCCCGCAAGTGCGAGCTGCAGCCCACTGAGTGGTCCATTCGCCGAAGAGGGAGGAAGAAGTTGCACCTCGTCGTGAGCCGCTGTGGGCTATGTATGCCAAGCGCGTCACCGTTTCAAACAACATACTGCTCGCCAACCTTATGTGTTAAATACCTTAATAGCACAGCATTACTCAACCATCACTACAAAATCAGTGCACAGTGGTCCAGAATGCAGATTTAGGTGGAAGGATATATTTTGAGCCTGAAATTTAAACTTCAGACTTAAAGTATCTTCTTCAAAGTTGTTTCTTATAGTAAGGTACTCATTTTTATGGCAATGAATTCTAGGGTGGTTCTTATTATCATTAAAATAAAAAATCTAACTTTTTGATTGAAGAAATTACCGCATATATTCTCGGAAAAAGTTATAGATGAGCTAATTTCAAGTAACTTTGTTTGCAAAACTTTTTTGTATCTCTTAAATTGACCGATTTAGATCTATTTTCTTGAATTGAGTTAGGGTGTCTAAAAAAACAGTTGTTTTGTTTAAGTTTTCTTATTTCAAATTTCTCAGCATAGGTGTCTTCAAACAACTTTTAGATGTTTTGAAGGTGCAAATTTTTGCTGCACAAAGCTTGTCAATATCTTTCGCCGATCAAGAGTTATTGACGTTTTTCTACTAAAAAAATCTCTTTTCAAATAAATGTTATTATCTCTTGTTGGAGCAAACAAAAAAAAAAGTTTTTTTTACGGCTTTTGAAAGGGCGTATGTTATTTACAATAATATGATAAAATTTGAAGTTTATTATTTTTTAGACTCGTATATAATCAA